TCCAGGACATTTGCGACATTTCATGAGCATTTAATTTGTATTGTTAGTATTGGAGAATACATTCTTGTATGCTTTCAAAATCCACACAATCTTATATCATATTTCCATACTCTACAAACTATATAGACCAAGGTTAAAATCACAGAATCATAGAAAGTTAGGGTTGAAAGGGACCTCAGGAGGTCATCTAGTCCAGCCCCCTGCTCAAAGCAGTACCATCCCCAACTAGATCAAAAATATTGTTAGAAAGAAAGATTTCAGGTAAAATTTTCAAAATCACTTAAATGAGTTAAGAAGCTTAAGCCCCCCATTTCCAAAAAACAACTGACACAATTAGTTACCTAAAAGCAGTGGTAACACACAAGCAGCAGCTGAAGGATCAGTACTGATGAAGAAAGACATGACCTTATGTTTTGCCAGCCAACCATGTGGAGTGGCCAAAAAACAATGGTTTTCAGTGGCAAAAAATTAGGTGGCATCTACCCCTACAGGAGAAACTACATTTCCCAGACTACCCTTCACTGGCACACTGCTGCACCCTTCCCCAGCTGGGGCTGGATCTGGAGAATGGAAGTGTGAAGTACACTTCATTCTATTACGATCAGGGATCCAGGTTTTCCATTTCCTCCGGAAAAACAGAGTAAACTGAGGATTTTACTCTTAATTGGAGGCAAATGTGGATTTCTCATATTATCAGAGTAACCCGTGGATTTTGCCATTTTGCAATGAGCTCTCTACAGGCTGGCAGAGTTCCAGCCTGTAGGGAGCTGGGAGGGAGCGGGAGGAAAATGGTGAGACAGGAGGTGCCACATGCACGGACATGCACACGGCCCCAGGCAGACTGCAGAGCAGCTCCAGCAGGTAAGTGGGATGGAAAGAGGGGGACTGAGGCCCCTGTAGGGAGGGAGGGAGCTGGGCAAGGCTGGGGCTGTTGCCCAGCTGGGCAGCGCTTGGGGCTTGAGGCCTGGGGCTGCAATGCACAGCTGCAGGCCCCAGCGAGGAGCAGGATGGGGCCATGGGTGGCTTGTCTGGGGAAGGGGGAAAACCAGCTCCCCACTGCCACACATGCTCCTGGGGTGCAAGGGGGACATGCATCCCCCAGCTTTGTCTGTGGGGCAGGCGCAGGCTGCAGGCGTGGACTCCCACCCTGCTTCCCAGCCAGGGCCTCCACAGCCCAGCAGGCACAACCTGGTGTGGCAGGGAATAGTGAGGCTGCATGAGGACCTCCTCACCACTGTGAGCTCACCACTACCCTGGCAACATGCCCCCTGCACATACCACTCCAGTGAGAGTTGCAACCCTGCGCTGTTGCCCTCAATGCTTCCCTCCCCCAGGGCTTCCACAGACCAGCTAGTACAACACAGCGTGGCAGGAAGCACTGGAGCCATTCAGAGAAGCTGATCGCCTCTGTGAGCTCCACACTGCCCTGGCAACGCACCTCCTACATGCAGAGATGTACTGAGGGCAGCAGCACAGGGTTGTGCCCCTCAAAGCAGTGGCATGTGCAGAAAGTGCATCACCAGGGCAGCGGGGAGCTCATAGCAGCAAGCAGCTTCTCTGCGCGGCTTTGCTTTTCCCTGCTGCGCTGGGCTATGCCTGCCAGGCTGCAGAGGCCCTGGGGGATGGGAAGCTGGGCGAGAGCCCATGCCCACAGCTTGCACCTGCCTCAGGCACAGATCTAGGGGGCACGGGTCACCCCTGCCCCCCTCAGGAGTGTGTACAGCAGTGGGGAGCCAATGCCCCTGCCCCTGCGGCAGGGGGGAGCAGGGGCTGTGGATTGGGTCCATAGCCCTGGCAGCTTGGGGCCTTCTCCTGCAGGACTGGGGGAGCAGGGGCTGTGGGTTCAGGGGAGAGGGGCACCAGGAAGGATGGTGGGGGTGAAAGGCACAAGCAGGGCCGAGGGGCTGTGGGAAGCCTTTAATTTTAATCATGGACTATGGGGTTTTTATTAAAGAATTTGCCATTTTTTTTGGAGAATTTGTGATTTTATATCAGGAAAAACCAGAATCCATGATTACGATGTCCCTCTCTACTTCAGGAAGTGCACAGGGCTTGTGCTCCACTCACCCACCTATACTTATGCTAAAGTCACTTTTGAAAAAATGATTCAAGGTTTATAATATCATTTCAATGGTTTTCAGAATGTACCCCATATCATTGCATCAAAAATGATGCAAACACTAGTATTTTCCCTTCATCAGAGTTTGCATTAAAATAATCAAATCCTTCCAACTCAGCAGGCCTAATTCTCTATTCCTTTAAGTGATGGAAAGTGAATTTATGCCACTCGTGGGCTTTCCATGTATAGGTCCAGCTCCAAACACAATTCAACGCATTTCCAAGGCTGCTATACCACAGAGCAATTTGTAGCTTCTCCCTTGGGACCGTAAGGCAAGGCAAGAAGGGATGGAGTTCATTGCACTCTAGCTAGAAGGCCCTCCTAATATATGGACAGGGACAAAGTAGAGTCATTGTGACAGTTCTTCACCACTCCAGGGAGTCCTTTAGACTGAAAGTATCCCCCTAAGGGCTAGCGCTTGTGAAATGATGGTCCTTGAACATTCTGCAGATTCTGGCCCCACTACTGGAGGGCAAGTTAAATATAAACATGCTGTTTAAATCTCTTGCTGCTGTCACTGTGAGCATATCACATCGTCTTACACTGCATCATTAAAGGTGTCAGTGTGATAAAAATAAGGCATGCCATAAGGGATTTATTTACAGGCCATGTGTTTTATCAATATAACTACAGCAGCTAGTAATTAATCTAAAATTTCTGACAGAACATTTTCAAGTAGTCATTTTGAACAAATTAGCTCAATTTTTTGTGATGTGTAATTTAGGAATAACATGGAAACACAAGTCCTTTATTTCCTAAGCATCTGCTGAGAAGACAACGAAACTTGACAGAGAAAGGGTATTACAAGTACACACTGGCTGTCCTGAATAATCAAAAGATTTGTTAGTTATATGGAAGAAAATGAAGCAGCATAAATACTGCATTTAAATTACCTTGCCCTGCAAATGCAGATTACTACGGATAATATCCCGAACTTCATCCTCAGTGTCTTTCTGTCAAGGAAACAAACAATTCATCATGCGCACTTTATAGAGCACATAGTTAAATAAAGTTATTGCCTGTGTTAAGACTAGATTTTTGTCTGGTCCTGTACTGCATTAAACTGGAGGTTAAACTAAGGCTGTAACATTTATGTTACCTGGCTATAGGTAGACATGTCCTAGCTCTTGGTTATGAACCCGTCATTCACATTTACATTTAACCATGGCAATTCAGCACATTGAACAATAATCTACATTATCACAATTACCAATACAGCCTTTGTCCAAATAATAATTGTCATTATAGATAACAGAAGGAACTCTTTGTTGCCCTCGCACCACTACACAGTGTATGGTCCACCCTAGAATTGAGATTTCTTTTACTTAAAATCCAGCTATATTTTAAATCTGTTCAGTGCAGTTTTCAGAAGCCCATTTCCTTCTATGACAAAAAAAGAAATATTTTACAAATAGCAACTTATAACACCATTATGTGTGAAATTTCCCAGAGGCTGGGAAAGTTGCTTCAACAAAATATACAACCCCAGGAAAAGAGTTAGGGTAAACCTCACCTTTTAGAATATCAGGTACAGGTACATATTTCTCAGTTGCAAACTGAGTTCTATTTAAACCATTTCAGGACAAAACAAAACACAATTCCATGCTCCAAACTCAATGTTAGTCAGGTAAATGATTGTTTGGGCTTTGGGACGGCAGAGAAAACAGGGAAATCTCATGTCAAGGGGTTCTGTTACAGGAATAGAGAATATTTACCCCAGACCTTAGAAGAAACAAAAAGCAGTCTTAATTCACCTACCATGCTGAATCTGGTTTTAGCCAGTGCAATTAACTCCTGGTCTCCAGGTGCACAAATATTTAATCCAATGGGCAGTAATCTCTTCAGTGCTGCTACAATGAGAGAAGTCTGCGTAGAATAGCGATCGCCCTTTCGCTTCATTTTCTTTCTCTCCTGATCAGAAACAGCTGCCTATTTAACAGAGCAGTCAGAAACCTAACATTAAATAATTGTCTCTGCACAAATAATTTCACTTATATTTTTGTATAGGTACATATTTCTCACAATTTATCATCACCTATCCAGCTCTTCCCCCTCTATCCAAAATCATTGCTTAGAATATCATGGTGGTTTGCTTGCCACTATCAGTCAACACCTTTTCTCAGTAACTGCTTTCTGATTTTATCACATTCTCTGTTTTCTCTTTCCATATTTGTGTCTCTTTCCCTGTTCTTCAAGAATTCCAGTTGTCCTCCTACCTCTTTCCTGTTCCCAAACATGACATTTCTGATTCCCAACCCCTGAATGGCCCTATCCTGCATTAAATGTGAGGTTAAGGTAAGGCTTCAGTGGTCTACCACTGACGCCCCCCTCTTTTTTTTTTTTCTTTTTTTTTTTCATATTATTGCCATTTGTTCCTATAACTCTTTTGCCTGTTGAACCTGAACTCTACATTCATCTACTCTGTGACGCTTCCATGATGTACACAAAAAATTTATTTTGTGATTAAATCACCATGGTTTAGAACAGCACTAAGTTCCGGTTTGAAAGGCAGCATCAGTAAAAAAAAAAAAAAAAGGCAGATTCTTGGAAACACGTAAAGGGGATCAGAATTTGGTCTTTACAGTTTCCTCACTATAGGATGCTTTCGAAATTAATTAGGTAACATTAATTTCACACTTGGAGTGTGTCAGTGTTATATAAATGGTGAGTAGAATTTTAATAATAATAAATCAAGAAGTGGAATTGTGATGGCTTTTGTTTGATGAGATGTTGCAATGTAGAGAAAAACAAGGACATGTCTGGCATTTCAAAGAATTATGTGCAACGTGAGGTTGGACATGCACAATTTAAAGGAAAGGATTCAATAGCCTTTACCTGTCGAAAGATTAATCCACATCAAGAGTATCATGGAAAAATAAGCCTTTGGGTTTTTGTGTTTGCATGACTTATTTATTATATGAAAATGCAACTTGATTAGTTAAATTCCATGTTAACTAACAGATTTTGGCGTTCTTCAAAAAGTCCTTTTAAGTCAAATTTATTTAACTGGCTAACAAGGATACTTAGACTAGAACATACTGTTTTGCCCAAATTAAGATGTTGACTGAATCAAAGTTAACATTAAAGATGAAATCTATGGCTTCCCATTCCATTTGGTCAGAAATCATACCGGCATATTAACACACACTGATGTTCCTATAGCATCATAAATATGTTGTTCCCAGGAAAACCTTTTCATACTTTAAACAACTGTGGCTCCAGTATAGCCAGTGTGGTGGCATAGATGCAACTGAACAAATTTTGGCCCAAAATTTCTGAGTAAACTTGTTTACCTTCAGCAACTTCACTATTATAATTAATGTTTTCTGTTTGACTTAATGTATGGCTGGATCTAGGATTTTGAAAAAGAGGGTGCAGATGGCATGGTCCATTATCACATAACACAGTGCATATTTTTCTACTACAAAGAAACTAGAAACTTCACTAATATGCTAGGGGCCTAGGACTATATTATTTTGTTTATGATCCTAGCGAAAACAAACATGACTGGGGGTGGTCCTCACTGCTACCTCCACAGTAGGACAACCACTTGGTGCCAGGGGAGTATAGTGTTAACCTTCGGCCTGGCCACAGACAGACCTGCTCCCTGCACCCCAATCTGCCCCTTACCCCCACCCACATGATGACCCGCAGCCCATCCTCACCCTACAGCCTCTCCTCCCTGCAAAAGCCCCATGGTGCCTGTGGCCCCCATCTGGCCTTCTACTTATTCCCCCCACCCCTCTTGGCCACCATAACCTGCAGATCCTCCTCCACAGTACTGCACCTAGCCAGTGGGTAGATGGGGACAAGAATGTAACTGCCCCCTCCTGAGTGCTAGGAGCTGGCTGCCACTGCCTCAACATACAGAAACAAACAGGGAAGGACCCACGTCAGCCACTTGCAGCACCCAACCTGAGGCAATCAACCACTTTGGATCTGCCCATGCCCAGCTTCATGCCAATCTGGTTGCACTCCTGGTTCAGCCTCCACCATCTCCTACAGTGAATAACCTAGGAAGGGGTCACTGAAGTAATTTATCTTTTCTCCTCACTTTTGCAACTCCTTCCTGCCTCTGGCCCCTGTCACACTACACAGCTTGGCCCGTCTTGAGCCCTGCCCTTCACCTCCCTGTCACTGATGTATTGTGGGTTCTACGTACCTCTTAGGTACAAAGCCACACATTCTAGTTTCCTAGATAGCAGCACACCCAATTGGGCACCCTGGGGGTGAGCAGAGAAGCCTTACCAGGAGTGGATAACAGACTAGAAAAGAGTATATAACTGAATTTTATATTTGGTGAAGTGGGACAGAACCTGAAGGAGGTCATCAAGAGGCATACAAACAAGGGGAAAAGGCCTTGTAACAATGGATTAGATTAATGGTCCATCTAGTTTAGTAGTCTGTTTCCCTGAAGACTCTACAATGGGCCACTGAGAAAAATGCCCGACTTCCAGAGATGCAGTTTTTGGGAGGAAAGGAAAAGGTGAAACTTAATTTGTTTTTTTTCAGGTCACCATCTAAAATCTCACCACCGTGAACTGACATAATATGGTGCCCTCACCACCACATAGTGTCAATGCGTTAATTGTTTCTCATGCCTGCTTCATTTGTGCCATTTCATTTTTGCTCACCAATAAAATCATGAGAGCCATTCTGGTAAAAATGGGTTTTATGTATGTAACATCATCTGTGGTATGCATGTTTGTAATTGAAGTAGTCACAGAAGTGCACCTGGAGTGGAAACTTGTAATGTCTGAGGCAATTCTTACTTCCTACAGGGCTTCATTTCACAGCTGTGGACTGACCCCTGTAAAAGCTCTGCCTCCTGTACTGATGTAGTGTTCTTCCTGACCGCAACCAGCTAGTGATTAACTTATATCTTGAATGGCATAGATTTACTTCCTTTGGGCTATGTCTCTGCAGCCTTTTTGAGCTCTGCTAGGCACAGACTCAAGATGGTGGAGATGAGGCAGTTTTATACCATTTTTAAAAATTCCTTTCCTCTACCCTGGCCAAGACTGTGCCCAGTTTTCATGACCATTCTTGTGTCTGTATACTCATAACTACAGCTATTCCTATACATATGGGAAACAACACTAGAAATGGGGGAAAAATATATTTTTATATCGGCAAACGGTTAAAGAATATGTTTTAACTTTGCTCACTGCAGTAGACACATAATATATCAGGGACCCACAATCCTACCTCATTTCTCTACCAAAACTCTGTGGAGGTCCACAGTTTGGACTGCAAAAAAATTCTGAATCAAATGTAATATCAGCTGATTGGTCTAAGTCAACTACTGTTCAGTGTACAGCATGTGACAGAGCACACAAACAGCTTTTAAATAGCTTTGATTCTTCCAACCACTCCAGCTAAGCCATGAGAGCAGCAAAATATGGCATGTATAGTGTACTGGGGACATCTTAAATGGCAGGACCTGGAAAGTTCCCAGCAACACTGAATTTAAGGGATTATAAAAACTGGGCCTGCCTTTACGGCTTAACAAAGCTGAATCATAAAAGGGAACCCTTATAAAGTTATTGGGACAGCAATACATAAACAGTGCATTCTAGCATACCTTGGACATCTTAGATTTGGTGTCGGTAATAAGAAAAGACATATTGTTGATTTCATTCTGTACCACAAAGTTCTGTTCTTCCCTTTTGAAATTCTGAAATGTTACACAGGAGATTTCAGTTAAAAGCACTTTATTAATATATGGGGAATCTGTCTGTACAATTCTTAGATAATATATATGGGTTAATGACAGCTCTAGATTCTACAAGGTTATAGACTGTAAGATTGTAATGGATTATCAGGAATATGCTGTGATTCTTATGCTCTTACATTAAATAAAAATCAGATGATTGCATATTTTGAGCATATAAAATGAAGACACACACACACACCCCCACCC